TAAAAAAGTTTACATCTGGCACAAAAGAGTACAAGGTGACTTTATGGACTGGTCCCACTATCAAATGGGTCCTCCCATTTGTGACTAGCCTCACCATTAAGCATGGGCATTTTTGAGCAAATTCCCAGACTGCTTGGATACCTTAATCTATCATACTGTAACCAGGAAGAGACAGTCCATCAGATAACTTGGTTCAAAGTCATATAGGACTTTAAAGGTGACAACCATTATCTTGAATTCTACAAATTAGCAGTCAATGCAGCTCCCGCAGGAGAGGTGCGCACATCTGGATTTACACAAAATCATGCTGACTGCTATATTTTGAACCAATTGGAGCTTCTGGAGACTTTTCAATGGCAGTTCCATGTAGCGCACATTGCAATAGTCAAGGTGGGACATGTTTAGTGTGTGAGTGATTCTGAGCAGCAATTGTTGGTCCAGAAAAGGGTGTAACTGGTGTAGAACCCACACTTGCACAAAAGCCCTTCTACCCATGACTACTGCATGTTCAAAGCAGGAATTGTGAGTCCAGGAGAACCCTCAGATTACACACCGGGTCTGCCTGGGGCCGGGCCAACCCTTCCAAGACCAGGGATTGCAGTTCTACATGGACCAAAAAAAACCAAACTCCAAAGGCCATTTGGTCTAGATAGGATTCAGTTTCAGCCAGTTGCTTCCCATCTTGCCCTTAACAATCTCCAAGTACTGTGAAAAGGGAGGTCATAGCATTGCTTACCTAACTATGGGCTGAAACATATAGTTGGATATCATCATCATATTGATATCTCAGTCCATGGTGGCAGATAATCTCACAAGCCGCTTCAGGTAGCTGTTAAACAGAAGTGGAGAGAGTACCAAGCCCTGTGGATCTCCACAAAGCAGGGGATGAGGACTAGACCTCTTGCTTCCTATCAACACAGACTGAGAGAGGCCTCAGAATAAGGAAATGAACCTGGAGAACACAGAAGTCCCACTCTCAACCCTTGAAGCCACTCCAGAAGGATACCATGGTTGATGGTATGGAAAGACTCTTTTCTTTCTTCCTCCTCCTCCTATTTCCTTCTTTTTCCTTCGTTCTCTTTCCCCTCTTTCCTTCTTTTTCTTTCTCTTTCCTCTCTCCCTCTCTCCTTTCTTTTCCCTTCTTGGATGCTCAAATGAAAAAGGGGAAACATTTCTCAATGCCTCCTTGCCTTGTGATCAAATGCCACTTTTGCAAGTAGTTTGTGGCCACTTAAAAGATTGAGAAAAACCAGGCTCAGTTTATCTCGTGCTTGCATTTAGTGGGGGCATCCACAGACAACAGTACAGCAAAACTGTCAAAATGGTGGCTGTGATAGTTGATCACAGCTCCTCCGTTTTTTTATGTGCAACAGCTTTAGCGTTTAGGATCAGAGGTAGCTTAGTTGGAGAATGTGGGCCAAGATCTCATGACCTTCTGTGTGCAAAGCAATCAAATGGGCATTGCAAATGGGAAGGATGGGAGGATGACCCATGAATGGGGGGATGACCCATAGGTGCTTTTCCAAAAGGCAACCGGACTTCATTGCTTTTTTTTTTTCTTGAAAAAATTTCACTTCTCCTTCACAAAGCTTCTTCAGTTCTGAGTCATCATCTTCCATCAGTACAATTTATTTGATTTATATGGGAAGCTATCTTATACAATATAGCCTGGATGGCTAGCAACAGCCATACAGAATATTAAAATGCCCGATGTCTGGGGGAAGATCTAATCTTTCAAACCCTTGTACGAGGCTAAGAGTCTTGGGGTCTTCTTGATATCTGAGGGAGACTGAGTAAGAGCCTCTATTGAAAAAGATCATTTCCCAGACCCTGCCAGACGTCATTAATAGAGGACTTTTGGAGTCCAGGCAGTGTGCCACTTAAAGATGAAGTACAATGATTTACAATATTTTCTTTTTTGGAATACACCAAAAGTAAACAAGGAACCTTGTTTTGTTTAAGACTTTTTTTTGCAGTTCTTTAGAGAGCAGCCCAGTGATGACTATACTTTTTGTGTACCAGTAAAAGTGTACATTCTTTCTCTGAATTCCAATCAGTTTGGTTTCTAATTTAAAGTGGGCATTTTGTTCACAACAATCCCTAACAGTTGCTTGGCAAGATGGAGAAATGACATATGTATGGACGAGATGAGATATATTCCAGATGGTACAGCAGTTTTAGAAGTAGCTAAAATCTTAGGGCTAGAAAAGTTGCATTTGAAGTGAAACCAACTTTTCAATTTTGTGCACAATTAAACAATCCATAACCCATTGGGTTATTATTTCAGAGATATTTCCTTACCTAAACAAAGAAACACAATGAATTTGGCAGTGATCATTGGAAACCTACCTACCTTCCTTCGTTCCTTCATTCCTTTGTTCCTTCGTTCCTCCCTCCCTCCCTCCCTCTCTCATTCGCTCAATGCCCTCCATAATGACAGAGCTTTAAATATACTGCCTTCATTGGAAAAGTTCTTGAAAACTCAGGGAGATAATTAATCTGCTTTAGAAAATATCCAATGTTGGCCACAGAAAATAATTTATGCAACTTACTATGCCATAAAATGCTTTATTATCATTTTTATGTCATAAAATATTATATGGCATTATTCAAATTTTACTTCCATAGGAGTCATGGGTCCTAGATTTTGGATGTCTTCTCTAAGTTAGTCTATTTGAAGTTCAACAGGTTTTGCCCTTTGATGCACTGTTTTATCCAGTTAAAGGTTACAGACACAAGAGTTTTAATAGTATATAGATAGATTAAAAACAGAATAAAAGGATAGGGTTATATACATGAAATATGGAATGAGAAACTAGAATATCCCATCTGGGAAATCAATGGGTCCAAGTCTTAAGAAACGTAAAATATATTTTTTATGATTAAAATACAAAATTCATTCATCAGAAAATATTATTTGATGTTTATTGGACTCCCCAGGAATGTGTTTAAAAGGACAGATATGAGATTTTTTTTAATGTTCACATTCTAGGTGATATGCGGACTCTTCTTACATAGTGTTCTGACCCAGAGCTAAGTTGCTTTGTAAATCCAGATCAGACAGATAAATTCAATAAGAATGATTATAAAACAGATACACTTTATTCAGAAGGAAATACTTGCAATTGTGGTTGTAGCTCCTGGATAACATACATCTGTTCATCCTTATAGGTGAGAATAATGCTTCCTCCATACCAACTTCTAGCATGGAAATGAGACCATCTGAGTCCTGCGGTGACCCCATGCTAACTCAGACAAAGAACATTCCAAACTGGTTCGTGGCCAGGATATCCTGCAATGCACTTTAGAAACTCCTCCCACTGACCTACTAACATGATATAGCTGACTAGCTAAAACTACATTACCCATAAGCCATCTCTTAAGGAGACAGCACTTAACCCAATAAATGCCAAACATTCTAACATACAGATCTACATGATCCAGAATACATAGTCTTTCTAGCCATTGGGGATGGAAGAAAAGTTAAGGATGAATTGAAAACTGAGCCATATTTATTTTTTGTGGCACAAATGCACATGATGAGTACATAGAACAGGGCTGTGAAACTCAATTTCATTGAGGGCCACATCATCATTGCGGTTGCCCTCGGTGGGCTGGGTGGGTGTGGCCTACTGGATGGGTGTGGACAGAGTGGGTGTGGCCTATTGGGTGGGCATGCCCAGCTCTACATCATTCACGTCAAGGGTGCCTGTGGGGGCCTGGGCAGGAGTGGGACAGATCTGAGGGTCTCTGGCAGAAGGGGGTGGGACTGGGGCAAGTGCCAAGGCATGGTCCACTGGAGGAGCCTCATTGCCTGCTGAAACCCCTCCACCGGAGCCCATCAAGCCGGATATGTGAAGTAGGCGAGGGCCATTTGCTGGCCACTTCCAGGCGATGGTACATTTCTTCATTTACCACAAAGGGTGACACCTCCTCAGCATGCACCCAGGGGGCAGGGCCGACACAGCAGGGGTTGGTTCCTTGCTGTTTCCAGACGGCCTTGTGGAGCTAAAACTGAATGTGTTTCACCATAAATGGCCACCAGAAAATTGTACATTGGCTCCCAGCCGGCCTGGGCCAGGGCCAAGGCAGTGGGGGCCGTTCCCTCACTGTTTCCAGGATGGCTTTGCGGGCCACATGAAACCACTTCGCAGGCCGCATCCGGCCCCCAGGCCTTGTGTTTAACATGTCTGACATAGAACATGGGTCCCCAACCCTCGGTCCACGGAACCTGTCCCTGGTGCCCAAAAGGTTGAGGGCCACTGACACAGAGCACTCTTTCTGAATACATAGATTCCATGATTATTCACCCTTAATCTCTTGGTCTTCATCACCTACTTGAGTAGAGGGGGTGATTTTCAGGCAATGGTTGGATTTTCAAAACTTGGCTAGATTAAAGCAACATGTACAAATATGAAACACTTTTGTCTATTGATACTAGTCAAGGCTGGCAGTACTTCTGGGTTACCAAGCCAAACATTTATTAAATAACAAACAAACAACAAACATAGCCCCTGGTGTTGTGGTCTACTGAGGGCTGACCTAGTCTTCTCATATAGATATGAAAAACAAAAACAAACCAACAAGGATAGTGTCTGCTTGATAAGCCATCATTCAAAGCTCCTGAGTTAATTTTCATAGAGCAGGTCCAGGTCCAAGATGCCTTACTGAAAGATTACTGGAGAGAGGGAAACTCAGTTCTACAAATAGTATTGCCTAACACATTTCACTTGGCTAATTTTATGCTGTATCTTAAAACATTAACAAATTAAATTATTTGGATTCACACAAGAAAATATACAAAATGCTTGATAATGGTTGAATCAACTTTAAGATGGTGAGGGAATGCAATTGCTGAGTTTTTTAATTCATCTCCTTAGGCCTGAAGGATAAACCGAGTGTATGAGGGACTGGAATCTTGGGTTCTAGGGTTGCTTCAAGATGAGAAGAGTGTAGCCTTCCACTATTGCTGTTGCTGTTGGTTTTTTTCAATTTATAAGTTAACATGAAAGCCACCAACCAAGTGCCAAGCTCAGACCAGTAAAGAGGGTGAGGCTGGGCTGGCTGATCACACCCCCATTGCATAAGTCAAAGGCACAACAACTGCGATTGTAATTCATGTTAAAAACACTATCCCTCTGTTCGGTCTTGTTGCAGAGTTCAGTCATTTTTCCGCAGTCATGTTTCGTGAAGAGCTCTAGACTGCCTGGTGGGAAAAGAAACAAGAAAAATAAATGTTAAAAGCTAGGGCATTTGCTCTACCTTGGGGAACCTATGTGAAAAGTAGCATTTGGAAACTGAAGGTTTTGAAATTTGTTTTTTTTTTAAATATGTTTTTTTTACATAGTCACCTTAATATTTGGTAAATATCATGTTGTCTGGGTTTATGTTTAAAAACAATCAATAACAATTAGTTTCTATAATTCTATAGTCCATAGTTCTATAGCTTTGCTTCATGTTCTCTTCTTCCAAAAATGTTCTCTTTTGCCATCCTTGAATTAATACAATTCTTATTATTTGGATAAATAACAATTAAATATAGACATTTTTCTAATATTCTAAAATTTCTAATATGTTGGGATGGCCTGTATGAGGAAAAAGACTTAAATAGTTAAATGTAATGAAAATCTTAACCAGTAAGAATGTTTTGAATATTGTGGGGAAAACAAATTTAAATAAGAATTTTAAACAGGATCTATGATAAGGCAATCAAGATGATCAGTTAGAAAAGAAGTTTTATATCAATAGGGTTATTATTTGCAGGTTTTGAAATCTGTTTTACTTACAGGTAGTTTTATCAGATGGCACCTCTTGAGTGATCTTAACTGGATTCAGAAGCTAAGCAGGATTAGGTCTGGCTACAGTTTAGATGCTATACTAACAAGGAATCCCAGAGCTGAAAGGTGAAAAGCATTCTCAAAGAATGTCTGTGGAGATTCTCAGTCATCCAGCTCATGGTTGCCACAAAGGTGCTTTTTCAAAAGGCAATTGATTTTGTTTTTCTCTCTCTTTCTTTCTTCAAGAAAAAACAAAGTCCAGTTGCCTTTTGAAAAAGGATCTTTGGAGTAAGTTTGGACATCTCGGCACATTCTAGTATCTTGTAAATAATCATTACATTTGTTGGTATATTTTCCCTTTTCCAGCATTGTGCATATGCAATGCGGGCAGCAGTTATTATGTGTATAATGATGTATTGAAGTTGTTTTTCCATCTTTGGATTGATTATGCCTAATAGGAATATTTCGGGTTTAAGTTCAATTTGTTCTTTTGTTATTTCCTGTATCCATCTCCTTATCTGCTCCCAATAAGTCTTTGCTTTGGGGCATTGCCACCACATATGATAAAATGTTCCCTCTTTATTTTTACATTTCCAACAGTCCAGATTCATATTTTTATATATATGACTTACTCTAGAAATAAAAGACAAGGAAGTTACAGAATTTTATGAGATTGGTTAGAATTGAGGAATAAAAAAGTATGAGAAGTAATGTAAATAAGTGTAAATACATGTAAGAGATATAGGGCATAGTATTGTTAAGAAAAAAGAAAAATGTACTTTGTATTTTGTTTTTTGTAAAGAGAAAAATAAAAAATAAAAAATCTATATAAATAAAAACGTAAATGTTCATTTGTTCAAAATCTTAAATCTCCAAAAGTTCTTCACCGATTGCTTTGAAATTTTGACACAACGTTTCATTCGAATACGTGCGTGTTTCTATATACCTATATTATATAGATGTCACACTTGTGACAGGTAAAAACATGCTTTTTTGAAAAACATCGCCATCTGTTGGACATAAAAGCAACACACGCTACGATTTTACCATTCCATTTTAATGTTTCCGATTTATGATCCATTTACGATTCCATTTCAATGTTTCT